GTTTTTTCCGTATATATTTTTCTTCATATTATATATATATATATATATATATATATATATATATATATATATATGTATGTGTGTGTGTGTGTGTGTGTGTGTGTGTGTGTGTGTATTTATTCATATATATATATATATATATATATATATATATATATACAGGTTTATTTAGGATACAGGTTCGATTCTCGTCGGAGGACGCGTATTTTCTATGAAAATCTCTCGGATATTCAGGCCGGTAAATGTTGTTAATACTGTTTATTATAAACAGAGCATTTACTTAAATATTTCTATCTATAAAAAAGAATGTATAGACATAAAAAATGTCTTTAAAATAATTGTCGGACTTTGTCCATTTCATATATATTCATTTGTTTATATCTACTTCATATCTTTTCAGTTATGATTCTCGTCTATATGTTGAAACACGCCTTTTTTAAAATGAATGTACGATACCTTGCAGTCAACCAAAATGGCGGCCGAGAAGAGTCAAGGTACGTACTCGCATGTTTTTTTCCGCTCCTGTTCATAGTGCAAACCAACTCGTGTGATTTTTTTATTTATTTATTTATTTTCTCACTGTTTTATCACCTATCCCAGCCTACATTTCTCGATGATACGCGTTCTCTTTCAGATCCCCATCTATTTGGAGTTAAATATAAAAACCTTACAAAGAAATTCTTTTATTTACGATAAAGATTAAGGTAGATAGCTGCTGGTTCGCTTAGTGCAACACTTGTTAAATGATTTAAACCATTAACTGCCTATCTCCGGTTCGACCTTTTTCCTTTGACGATGATAGCCGTGTGCCAACTGATTCCTACACGTACCGAAATACACGGATGTAATTGTCGACTCATATCCCATAAAGAGACAGTTTTCTTTGCAGTCAGATCGGGTAGATATCCACACTCTCTTCTCGTCTTTTGAACAGGAGTAGAGGGTTTATCCGTTGTTTAGGATTGGGTTTCCGGTTCCTTCTAAAGACTTTCTCATTTTTCTTTCACTGCCAGTAGTCCCTTGCTTCTTAGTGGCATTACTGCTTTGCTTGGGGTGAAATGATTACAAAAAAAAAAAAAAAAAAAAAAAGAAAAGGTGAATTCAAATAGAAGTAACAAAAGGATATGTTTCTTCCTCGGATTTATACACTGGCTTTAAATAACCTGCAAGAAGCCGTATAAGAAACAAATCAAAATCAACCTTATACAGCAAATACGAGAATTAGAAATATTACTAGCAGGGCCATATTATGACCTTTTGGGGTGTCTAGGCTAATAAAATTATGGCCCCTACCCAAACTCTAACTCGTCTGCACCCGTCTTGTATATTTTTACTCGTAATATATTTTAGCGATATTTACATAAAAAAGTCTTTATGATGCAATGAATATGCATACACCTGGGTTCCCCCTCACTGTAATATGGTGTCAGCCATAAATACAGACTGAGGTGTCAGCCATAAATACAGACTGAGGTGGAGGTACAGGTTGACGCCTATTGTGTACGCCTATTGCCTATGCCTATTGCCTACCACTACGACAAGGACCAGTCCATTACGGTTACCTGCTAGATTGTCTTACCCGGTTACTGTAGTCCAAAACCACTTTGCTGCTTCGAACAAATATATCCCATTTCGGGACATATCACTTTAAATAAACTAGAATAGCTGTTTTGTTTGTCAATAAATATATTCTTTAAGAAATGCCATTATTATTTTTTTTTATTTTAGCACATATTTCAACACGGCCATTGTAAATTAAATAAAAAGAAAACCATTGATTATAACCAGTATTATAAACAAACTCAAGGGGTTCTAAGCTGAGGCTTAGACGAGCCTATAGGATAATCCGGTCCTGCTTACTAGAATTTATTATCGGTAGAGCTAATCTTAGCAACGTAAGATACGCTGATGGCACTGTTGAGAGCAAACGGAAAAAGGAAACTGAAATAACTCTTAATCAATGACGTAATGGAAAGCAAGAAGAAAGGACTAACTCTTAACTCTAAGAAACAGAATGGATGGCAGTCAGCCCAAGAGACAGCCTAAGATGTGAGTTACGTATTCGGAATGTCAAAATTAGGCAGACACAGAAATTTAACTGTGTAGTGTAGTAACAAACGAAGAAAAATGTCACAAAGTAGTCCAAAGGCCCAGAGAAAGACGTCTTCCTGAAATTAAGCAAAATATCAAGATATAGGAAAAATATTGTTAAAGAAAAGAATTAATGGAAGAAAGAAAATGTTGTAATATCTAACGTTGTTAAAACGTTCGCTTTTCGACCAGGAGACCCTGGTTCGAATCTCATCATGATCGATTTATCAATTTATCTGTCATCGAACTGGAGAGGCAATCCCAACGTGCTGAAACCATTGGAAAGTATCTGAAAAACCATATCATGCCTTGTGAGTGAAATTGGGTAGACGCAGCTATTTGGGAGGCGTCGATGGCTGTTCTAGCACAAAGTCACAAGTCATCGTGACCGAGAGTTTGAACGTACTGA